TGTCTATTGTCAAACCCTACACCATATTAGACCATGTCAAATTAGGCACTGACCAACTGTGCCATCCACAACACTCCTGTTACACCCCCACACATCACTGCTTTTCTTTATTCTAACACCCCTCTCCTATACAAAGCTGTGATAGTGCAAGTTGCTTAGCATGTCTTTCCCAGCATGGGAAAGGGTCAGAAATGAATCAAAAGTCACCATTTCCAACAGCAGATAGTGCTCCTCCACAGAACATAAAAAAGCATAACTCCTCTGCTTCAAAAATCAGTGGAAGTATTTTGGTGTAAGAGGGAAAAGAAGGGGAGAGAGGCCAATGCACTGGAGCTGTTAAGAAGCACCCTGTGAACCCAGCACCACTTTATGCTGCAAGCTTCATTAAGTGATGAATGATCATCACATAAGAAGGGAAATAAACAGAAAATCATTACACTAAAACATTCAAATGACATTGGCCACTGTTATCCAGAGATTGGATTAGGCATTTGTAAACTCTCCCTACCCAGCTTTCCTAACAATTACTCTAGATTCACAGGGTGAGTGACAACAGCACTTTATTCAAAAAACCAGTCTAGTATTTGTCAAGACACCTGCTCCCCCCAAATCTAGAACAACAAAACCTACCTGCTTCTGGATCTGGAGGAATCCTCCACATATACAAATTGAAGTCATCAGAGCCAGAAAGGATGTACTGTTAGGAATGAAAATAAAAGCAGTTTACCACAACATATCACTTGAATTATGTTATTTTACTATTGATCTAGTTTCTTCAAACCAAAAACAAGAAAAAAAAAGGATAATTTGTATCATTCTTTGCACCTTGCTGATCAACTTACCTTTAAATGAATGTGAAGTACCAGCACAAAAAGGCTGCATATATATAAATGGACCAAAACTCAAAAGCATATTTCATGTATCTAATGTCTACTGTCCAAAGTCTATGTTTGCTTTGCTAAACAAGGCTATGAAAAAAGGCTATGAATTTTGGTAGGCTTTAGTACAAGCATGTCTAGATCACACTCTCTATCTTGCAGCCTGCAACTCTGGTGGTTTTTTAACAATCAAGTCTTTCATCCTTTTTTCTCATCTCCTGAAAAACCAAGGAAGACTCCAACAAACACATACCTACAAAGAGAGCTTAGCATGTCCTTTACATACAAGCACAACATACATGGCTCACCAAGCCAGACATGTCTACCAAGACTCAGTCACGGAGGATAATCTAGAACACCAAACAAAATCAAAGCTAAAGATTCATGGTCAGCAAGTCTCAAGTGGTTAAAAAACCCTCCCCACATTTATCACACTGTCCATTTTATTCCTAGTCTTTGTTACACTGAAGAGATGCTAGGCTGCCCTTTTTCAACAGTGCATGAATGATAAGCAATCTCTTCACTGTGCAGAACTTCAGGCAATAGGCAATTTAGAGTAGCTTAATATACTACAAACATGAACTGGAATGACAAGTGACATTTGACATAGCAAAAAGCTTATGCCTCTCAGTTCTGAGAGGCCACAAACCACACATGAATTTTCTCCAAATACTTCTCCAATAAATGACAGGGAGCACAGTTTATTTCTCTCCCAGATTAGAGATATGATGGCATGTAGTGGAACCAAGGGCAAATTCCAATTCCAGTTATACTGGAGTAGACAGTGTAAATCTCTAGCCCTCAACTGACTTTAGGCTGCTATTTAATCAATACAGTGACGGCATTGGGGTTTTCATTTTACTATTATTATTATTAGGTTACAGGGAAGGGGAAAAAAAAGAAAGAAATGGAGTCAGTTTGTCCCTTTTCTAACCTTTGATACGAGACAAATTCTGTTTTGTTTGGCTCAAATATATCTGGTTTCTGTCTGTCTTTCTCCAAGGATACATAAAGTCATCAGGCAAAGTACCATCGAACAGCGAGGAGACAAGTCCTGGAATAACACCAAACTGAGAAGCAAATAAACAAAAACTATATGACTAAATTTGCATATAGTCATTTGCAATGCTAATTATGTTAGTGCAGTGTTTGGATGTTTCCAGTTACAAAAATGCAGTAAACAACCACTAAAATCCCTTCTCTGGTTTCCTACTATCATAACCAACCATTCTTTTTTCTCTCATTTTCAAGGACGCAGGATGTGAGTAAGCACTTACAAATGCAATTCAGGAGCACTGATCAAACAGAAGTTCCTTTAAAAGCTTGTGCACACTTGTTCAGTATCACTCATAAACCCATACTTTCCAAGCCAGAAAGTCACTTCTACAAGCCAACACGTTCAAGCACTTAGGCAATTTACCTTGCCAAACTGACCTGATGATGCCAGGAATCTGTGCTTCCCCTTTCATTTGATTGCTCATAAACGTTGGCCCGCAGCAGGCTGAGCCACTGTGCCAAAGCTCCACAGATTAGGTCTCATATAGGAAACCTCCCAGCAACTAGAAACAAAACATTTCTAACATGTTTTGTCACAGAAGAAATGTTACATGGAAAAAAGTCTCATTTATGTAGAGACGTTGCCATTTGTTACTATTTATTACCAAATTTTGTTGAAACAGCAACTAATTTGCCAAGGACAGATAGCAAAAACCAGAGACTTCTAATTAAAACACCTAGAAAGCTCAGTGCCTTCAATTTATGACCATGGCACCTTTTTTTTTTTTAAAACCAAACTAGTTCTAACAACTCCTCAATATGAAAGTAATTTATCACTTTACATCATAAACCAAACAAACCAACAATGGCAGGGCCCCAAAGTGACAGATTTCAGATATCCTGCACTGGGCACACAGCACAGAAAAAACCCACATTATGTACATGCAGGGAATGAAGTACTCAGTGACACTCTTCAAATCTGCTTCCAAAATAATTTGCAGAGGAACACACTGTGCATTGTGTAGGACTCAATGGTCACTTGTGTAGGAAATCTCACTTATTACTGCCCAATAAACAAGAATATACCACCTGCAAAAACACTGATCCCAGTATACTCTGTCTTGCTTTGGAGATACCAACATTAAGAGTGCCCATGCAGCAACGTGGACTAACAGCAACTTGATGCACTATCTAGAGTGTAAACCAGAGATCAACATAAGCAATTATTCCCCTTACCTGTCACTTTTGAAGCCACACCTGGGATATTGTGTCTGGTTTGGGTCCCCCAGTACAAGAGTGACACTAACAAACTGGACAGAGAGTGGAAGACACATGACCCACAAGGAAAACCTAAGGTAACTGGTCTTGTTTAGCCAGATGAAGAGAAAGGGAAGGGACAGAGTGGACCTCAACAGTTTCCCACTCTTCGAAGGAATGCTGAGCAGCCAGAGACAGATTCTTCTCAGAGGCACTCAGCGGACACTCAGGAAGCAACAGTCACAAGTCAAAGCAAGGGAAATTCCAGCTGAGCACAAAGGAACAGCATATTCAGGAGGGACATAACAAACACTGCAACTTGGCCCCAGAAAGGCAGTGGAATCTCCACTCCTGCAAATCCAAAATTTTCCCGGACAATTCCCTGAGCAACCTGATCTGACTTTGAAGATGCTCTGCTCTGAGAAGCAGCTTAAGTCAGGTGATCTCCAGAGCTCTCTTCTGGCTCTTTTTTTTCAAAGATCACCAAAGTGAAAACAGGAATAATTGCCTTGGTGGATTGGGGTTGAGTTTTGGGTTGCAGAGGGGGAAGAGGGAGGAGGGGAGAAGTGTGCAGTGTCAGGAAAATGCCCATCTGAAACCTTTACACTCCATGAGACATCACAGCTTCATGAAAACACCAGTGGGAAGACAAACTTAGGGCACAGAGCCAGAGCCATAAGCTGCAGTTCAGCACATGGATTTGCATAAATTAAGGTGATCACAATTTGGGCAATTTAAAGAAAGAAACTGACAAAGTACCTTAAAATAGTACACAGAATCATAGAATGGCTGAGGCTGGAAGGAACCTTCGAAGGTCACCTGGTCCTATCCCTGTGTTCAAGCAGGGCCACCTAGAGACAGCTTCCCAGGACCATGTCCTGACAGCTCTTGAGTATTTCCAGTGGTGGAGATATTCAGTCCAACTGTCTCAGATTCAGGTAGTTCCTACTTAAAAGTATCAGTAGATCCTACTTAAAAGGACCACAAAGTCCTTCACTTCATTACAATTTCAAGCCTAAATGACATGTGCACCAAACACGCTTGGCCAAAGTATTCTGCAGTGAATTAAGGAAAAATAAGTAGGAATGAACAAAGCATCTGCAATGCAATTATGTCTAGTTGCAGAACAAAGCTCAGCCTGGGATCTGAGCTGTTCTGAAAAAGTACTTATGGGTTTAATCTTGCAAGTGAGACATCAGTAAATGTCAAAGTAGCAATTGACCAAGTCATTTACACAAGTTTGGTGTTGTAAGCAATGGGCTGTGAGCAGTGAACTTTATATATACATTTGAATTTTATTTTGATAGTTAGCTCAGCCAGCAATTACCAGAAATGGATCATATACCACAAAATACCCAACTATTTTGTATTACTGCCATTCCACTGCCACCATTGCAGCAGCCAGCATTGTTTTCCACTCAAAAAATGTTGAGGTAGGGGTGCATGTTTTCCTGCTGTTCTCACAACATAGAATTGAATCCCCAAATGCATTCCTTCTGTCCTTTTCTGTAAGATGAGGTGATAGGGGTCTGAGAAGTATAACGCTGCTTTTCAGACTGGGACCAAGAGACTGCCAGAACAACTTCAGGACTGCAGCTATTGCAAGAAAGATCTGCCACATGAAGCTTCAAGAGCAGAAACGCAAGCTGCAAAAGCCAGGAACATGTCTCTTCCATGACATTTGGAACAAACTCAATTCCCATTAGTACTTTCTGCAGAAGACAATGGAACCTAAGGCCTCTAGAGAGCAGAGCTGGACTGATGTTACTAGGACATTTACACGTACATCTGTGAAAATGTTTCTTTGATGTATTCATTACTAGTATAACAATAAGCCAATAGTTCTCCTCACTAGTCTAAAGTTGAAGAATAAGGATTGAGAAAATGAAAAAGTCAGTCCCCACTACTAGAAAAGTCAAAGAAATAATTACTATGAAGTGCACCAAACCCTAGTTAATAAGGCTGAAATCCTGAGAGAATAGACTTTTCAAAAGAAAGGAACAGGAAGGAAAAAAAAGGAAGGAGTTGGGGTGGGGCAGATGAAAGAATGTCATACTGCATATGGTTAGAGTCCACTTCAATTGTGAACAAGGATTTTTGGTCCTGAGATGTTGAAAACTTTATTCCTAGCAGAGTACCTTCAATTCATTCACTTTAAGAACAAAAACCCAGCTAATCAAACCAAGCAGGCAAGCCAGGGGGAGGCAAAAACATGTGCATTCACAGAGAACTAAAAGGCTAAGACAGCATGCACTCTCCTCCTTCTGCCCTCCCCCCAAAGACAAACTCCAAGAAGAACATAGCCTCAAGAACCAGTGCAGTGCTGAACTCTGAATCAGAGCAGACATTGCATGAGAAGCTCAGATGTCTAGGGGGGGAGACCAATATTAAACCCACCTGTTTAATTGTCTGCATTTTTGCTGCTGTATTTAACCAGGACTTTGGAAATCAGCATTTACAATACTCACATGAACATGACATTAGACAGAAAAAACACTTGCTGCTAATATTGGAGTTTTTTTAGAAGAGCAGAATCAGCTTCTATGTCTAGCTGTTAGCAACAATG